TTATGGAAATAGCTTTGGCTGAGAATATGAATGCAAACTGACTTTCCTAAGGAAATATCTTGCTTTGGCCTTACTGATACATGCTGCCTTTTCATCATACATGTTAATTAGAATAATCAAGTTAACTTTTTGAATAACTACTGCTAATTGCTCTTGGGCAGCATTCTAGCAAAGGACCACACAACTGATATAATAAATTTCATCCAATGAAGGGTTGGTACGAACATATTAGATATTAATGTTTGGCACTTTTAATAAATTAATTATTTTAAAAGTTGCATTTCACTACAGTGGGCAGGTAGAAATTTGGAGTCAAATACAGGATTAAAAACCAAAACTATCATACATCTTGTATTCTATAACTATTTCACCTGGTAATTCATATCATTTTGTCCTTATTGCATAGTTTATTCCAGTTAACATGCACAATAAAAAGATATTCCTCAATTTACGACCACAATTGAACCCGAAATTTCTGTTAAGTGAGACATTTGTTAAGTGAGCTTTGCTCCATTTTACGACTTTCCTTGTCACAGTTGTTAAGTGAATCACTGCAGTTGAAAAGTTAGTAACATGTTTGTTAAGGGAATCTGGCTTCCGTTGACTTTGCTTGTCAGAAAGTCACAAAAGGTGAACACATGACCTTGGGACACAGCAACAGTCATAAGTATGAACCAATTGCCAATATCTGAATTTTGATCACATGATCATGGGGATGCTGTAAAGGTCGTAACTGTGAAAAATTATCATAAGTCACTTTTTTCAGTGCCATTTGATCATTAAATTAACTGTTGTAATTTGAGTACTACCTGTACACAAAGTTAACTCTTTACCTGATTTGTGCAATGCTTTAATGATTCTCCTTTTGAAAATTCAATTGTGTATTATTTGCTTTAATTTTTCTTTCAATATAACCAGTATGTTGGATTATTTTCTGTTTTACAAATCAATTTATGGGATACAGACTGTTGGTTGTGGCTGAGCATAAAGGCTATATCAGGGGTCACCAACCTTTCGGACCTCAGGGACCACTAAATTCATAATTTTAAATCCCACAGACCACTAATATGATCTGCCTAATGACTGGCTGGGTGGGCGTGGCTAGGGGAGGATCATGTGACTGGGTGGGCATGGTCAACTCAATATCACTTGCATCAAGGGGCGCCTCGCCAGCCTCTACTCGCCCCTCCCCTCCCCTCCCAACCACTCCTTGCCTGCCCGCCCAGACTCCTTAGGGCCCCAACAGGAAGCAGTTGTTGGAGCTAAGCAGCCACCACGAGAAAGAGTTGGCAAAACAGCTGGCTCAGTTCAAATTGGATCTGGCTGAGAAGGAGGCTCAGCAGAAGCATCTCACAGAGGACTGAGCATATGCTTTCCAAGCAGAGGAAAGATGTGCGGGAGTGCAAGGCCTGGAAGCTCAGCGGGCTGAGATGGTCAGCCAGTTCCAGGCCATGAGGCAGTCCCACTGGAACAAGGCTCTCCGGCTCTTCGCCACCAGCGGCACTTTCCTCCAGCCTTCGCCCAAAGCCCCGCACCAGGGCTGAAGCAGATCCCAAGTCGGAATTTCTGCCCCCCACCGACCCACACAAAAAGGGGGAGACTCTCTGCAGCAGCAAAACGTACATTGCACATATCCGGCCCAGGGGCTGTAGTTGAGCACCCTTGATTTAGTGCAATATAAAAAATTCAAATATTTTTTCTGTGGGCCACCAAAATTTTCTTGCAGACCACCAGTTAGTGACCGCTGGTCTATATCATTATGTCACCCATTAGTGACCTGGCAGAGCTTGCAGACTAAAAAAGTTAACTTCAACCTCCTTTTCCCAAAGTGCTGTGGGGCTATACACCTAGCTCCATTTCCTACTTTGACATAGTTGCTTGGTAATTACAGCTGTCATATCCGGTCTTTATTTTTATTTATTTTAAACACTTATATAGCCGCCCATCTTATAACAAACTCTGGGCAGCTCCCAATCAAAAATTAAAACATAAAAACCATTATTAACACTATAAAAAAACAAATGCATTAATAACAAGTCAAGGTGCCAAGTCAAGGTTACAATTTAGTTTATAAAATTTATTGGCTGTCCATCATACCAAGCTTATGCTCTCTGGCAACTCTGGCAACTCATGCACTCATCTTATCTTATCCCAGGGTTTGGGCAAAAAGCCAGGTCTTCAGTACTTTACAGAAGACTAAAAGTGTGGAGGCCTGCTGAATTTGAGGGGGAAGAGTGTTCCACAGGGTAGGGACTGCCACTGAAAAGGAAATGTTTCCTAGTTCCTGTAAAATGGCAATGTTTAAGGACAGGTAGATGTCTCTAGGGAAAGGTGGTCCCATAGATTTTTCAGAGGGCAACTCACTTGGGAGGAGGTGGGGAGGGAAGGCAAGCAGGCAGGCAGACAGGCAGGCAAGCAGGAAAGTTGTGGGGATTGCTAGAATATGCATAAAAAACTGGCTGGTCAACTTTCAGCCAGTCCCTCACTCTCAATCCAAACCTCCTCACAAGGTTGTTGTTGTTTTAGGGGAAAACAGGAGAAGGAAGGTGTATTAGGTATGTTCTCTGACTTGAGTTATTTATAAAAATAATAAAGGCAGAATTAACAAAAGGAAGGAAGGAAGGAAGGAAGGAAGGAAGGAAGGAAGGAAGGAAGGAAGGAAGGTTGCCAGAATACTCCCCAAATTTATACCTGAGTGTATAGTTCTGAGTGTATGGCAATTATATTGATTTGAAAGTGGTTTGTATAATATCTGCTTGCAGAAGCTTTCTACAGCCATGTCAAACTGAGGTCTAAGGAAACAAAATCACAAATGTAACATTAACCACTTCCACTCTTATAGCATATGAATTACCACTTGGTAAGAGGGGGCAGCCAATAAATTTTATAAATAAATTAATATAAACCATAAAATTGCTGTACAGTTTTTTTTTTTTGTGGTATGGCAACCTAAGCCTTATTATTCCACTTGTTTCAAGTGAAACAATAAAATACAATGTGTGCTAGACGTTTCATCACAGATGGCAAAATGAAATGGCACACATCGTATTGTAATTGTTTCACTTGAAACAAGCGGAGTAACGAGTTGAAATATGATGTGTCTTAAAGCTGTCAGCAAATATAGCACAAAATGAAAGCTATTTTGAAAATGTCTGTTTTTCCAACAAGAGTAATGCGTTGCTGAGAATGCTGTTTCTAGAAATAGGTCTGTATGCTTCCAACTATAGCAGCACCCAGTGGTCACTGCAGTATATTTGGTATACCTTTTTCCACCTCAAAAATGCTTTCTTCAGTGGTGTAATATAGGACTTGCACTCTACAAAGCATTTCAGTACCAAGACAAATTCCCCCCCCCCTTCATTGGATAAACTGATTACTGAATGTCCTTCTTTAATACAGTTCTAGAATAGTTCGAAATGCGTGTATGTTATATGCAGAGACTTGTAACCCAGCCATCTTTGAAACAGTTACTGAACTTCATGTGCTTATCTCTTGTTCTCAGATTTCTTGGCTGACGCGGGAGAGACACGGGACATTTGGTATAAAAACAAAAAAAATCCAGGTCTGAAAAATGAATAGCTATGCTAGACTGAATTGCAGGGCTACCATGCTGTTGACATTTCAGCCAAGCGTAGATTTAATTACAAAATGCAGATGGCAAATCAGGTTTTCAGTTAAGGAAATCCCAAGCTCAATAATGTTCATAAAATAACTGTAAAAGCAGGTATATGGTTTTAACTTAGCACTCATTCAAGCTAACACATTTGCCTTAGCTCTAACAGGTAGAAGGGTATACAAGGGTCTCAGTCCCAGTTAAATATTTTAAAAAATGAACTGACGCTGTAGATTTGATACAGAGATTTCAAACACATAAAGCCTTTGATATAACAGCACGCAGGAGTGGACATTTCAGTGTTTCCTGTTAAAGGTCATCTATGCCTATAGGCATGTTATTTAAGTGATAACCTGCCAAATAATACAACACATTCAAATTCACGTACTCCTGCAGAAAGTCTAGGAGTCTGAACAGCAGAAAACATACTGGGGAAAAAATCCCTGCTATTATGCAACTGAAGCTTAACTACCTTCAGTTATATTAGTTCCATTTTTTTCAGAAGCAAAGACTGCACTAGGAGGCAATGCTTTGCACAGAAATGTTTGTTTGTGCGTGTGTATGTTTGTGTGTTTTAAATAAAGACTGCAATTAAAGGAGGCATGCCCAAGAGACAACAACAACGGCAAAATGTTGTCTTCCATGTGCCTTGCTGATTGTGTCTCCACCACTACAAATTACAAGAAGCTGCTGTCCAGACAAATATTCAGGACAGGACAGGATCTGACCAATCTGTTACCTTTCCAATATTTGATGTTCTGATCTGTAAGTATTGCCCTCTGCTTCAGTTAAGATGGCATTTTTCTACCTTAATAGAGATTACAAAGAACTATTTGTTTCAAACAACTTCCCACAGTATTTGTCTTGAAAGTGAGTTTTCTTCAAAGGCTTTGAGCTATTCACACATAAACACATCCACCAAATTATGTAATTTGAAAATTAATATAAAGGATGGCAGCTATTTTAAAATAAAGTTAATGCAATATAATTACATTAGCAGCAATTTTACAAATTCCCAATTGTACAATAATGTACTATTTTAACCCTTCTGAGGTACTCCTTTTCCATTTGGCATAAGAGCAAAAGCAGGTGGGGAAGGGAGATTAAATTGTCTTGTAAAAAGAAGTGGTCAGTTTCGTAAACTTCATTCCCAAGGATACCTATTCTTTGAAATAATCCTGCATTTACAAACAGGAGAAAGAGGAATCCTAGGTTACCAGAAAAGCCTGCAGCTTCTTATATATCTAAACTGTTACATCCAATAAGCTATAAGTAGAGTAGGGTGGAGAACTAGACATGGAATTTCAAGAGTGAAGAGCTTATCAAGAGTTGCTTCTTAAGACAAACTTGGACATTAATGATGTAAAACATTATAGACCAAAGCAGATTGCAAAAAAAGTGCAATTTATGAATGTACAGCATATCCAGTAGTTTAAAAGAATTCGACATTACAAAGCATTCACAGCAACCAGAAGACTAAATATCATTTCTAGAAGACAGGAAACAAGGGAACATTATTGAAGAAATGCACAGAAACCGATCAGCTCAAACAACTAAGCCTTAAAGTGCACATAGACACACACACAAAGAGCAATATGTATTTTATATTCATACACGGCAGGTATGCTTTTATTTTGGCTATGAAGAGTCTTACTCCTTCTGTATTTTGATCAAAAGCTAGATAGCTTTCACACAAGTGAGACTTTTCTTATAAGGCAGCCTTGCAGGACTTCTCCATGTCCATCCTGAGAACACAGTCTCTTTCCTTGGCTCAAAGAACTCACAGAAGGCATGCGGAGGAAAATTCTCAAAATCTTCTCAAAACTGGAACCTTTGGTGACCTGATGGTTATTTTCTCAATTAATATGTACTTGCAGGTACAACTGCTGCCCTCTTAACACACTCCCAAAGGAGTGTCCCTCCCATACCTTCCAATATACAATGTAATACAGTTGCCAATCCTTATGGTCCTCCACAGGGAACTGGATAAACAGAATCATAGAGTGATCAAGGCACACTGTCATCTTAACTTCTTGTACTATTTTGAGATGTTCTAAAGAGCAATAGGTGCTAGATGGAGGGTAATATATGACTGCACATCACAACTGCTAGGTTACATTTGACCATTGGAAAAATCAGCTAAATGACTGAGACATAGTTGCACTCATATTTCGCAATGCACTACATATAAAAGAGTTGTTTTCCAAAAGTTCTTAAATTTTAGTTTAATGAAGTCTAAGATCTTCAATATTTGGGACTACTATATACTCTTCCTAAACTCAAGAAGAGGGATTTTTTTTTGGCAACTCACCCATTTATTCATAAGGCATTATTTCTCTTTTGCCAGATAATATGCTGTGATCCTTAGAATGGTAAATAATTTCAATAAGTTGTATCCTAAATAAGATCAGTTTTGAAGAAATTCCATGACAGAGGCTGTATTCTAGGTAGCTGAAAAACTTTCTATGACCTACTGGCCAGCACCAATTCCAGAAAAGAGTTGAAGTATTGCTTAATGATTATCCTTTTGCCTGAATATTCTTTCAACAAAAATTCCAAGAAGCACTTATCAATACAGCTGAGTTTTCTTCGTTTCTTTCTTTGGAATAGCATCATACCCCACCCCACCCCACCCCTAACTTAATGCCCATTTAATTTTAGAAAAAAAAACTATGAATATATTATGGTATGAACGTTGTTCATTTTTGTAATTGGGATAATGGTGCTATTTATATGGAGTTCTTGTATCATTCCTTGGTAGGGAATTATTTGTTTGTATGACAAGGACAAGTATGTAAGCTGTTCAGAAAATAGCAATAGCACTTAGACTTATATACCACTTCACAGTGCTTTACAGCCACTTTTAAGCGGTTTACAGAGTCAGCATATTGCCCCCAACAATCCGGGTCCTCATTTTACCCACCTCGGAAGGATGGAAGGCTGAGTCAACCTTGAACTGGTAAGATTCAAACTGCCAAATTACTGGCAGCCAGCAGTCAGCAGAAGTAGCCTGCAGTACTTCATTCTAACCACTGCGCCCCCACCGCTCATCACAACTGTGGCATATAAATTAAATAAATAAATAAATATGTTAGTGCCAGTCATGAAATCAACAAGCCGCCACAGAGCTTGTTTCATCTAGTCTCCTTCAATTCAGGGGCCCTTTTAATTATACTTGAGTACATACAGTTAGCATTTCCTTTTTCCCTTCCCTTCTTCCCTCATTTAATTTACAACTGGGGAGGAAGGAAGAACAAAATAAGACAAATTAAGCTTCTGTGTGATTGAATCCCTCATCTGGTGAAGGTTGTATTCCTTGCTAGGTCCATGGAGGTTCGAAGTATAGACAAACACTCCTAGAACTATATGACTCAAATTATGAGCAAATCAACTTACCACCTAACTCATTTTGTAGGAAGTACTGCCTGTCCCATCAAACAACTCACAGTGGCTACTAGTGCTTTGACCCCAGCTATTATGCTATATTTTTGCCATTTTTATTTGAAAAAACAAGAATACTTTAACCACTTAGTAATAAAGTGGTTCAAAGAATATGAATGGATGAAGTAATTTCCAGTGTAGGACAAAGGAACAACGAAGTGCTTATTTAGAGGCTGAATATCAGCATCGGTTTTGAGGAAAATAATGCGCAATAGTGAAATAAGTGATTTAAATAGAAGTAACATATTTTAGCGTCATCTCAGTCCATGGCCAACTTTTCTGCAGGGGAAAAGAAAGGACAGGATATTACAGTTGTTACTGTTCCTGAGGCATTCAGATGGGTTTGGAAGTCCACCTCAGAGAAGTCTCCTATATTGACCTATTCTTAGTAAAACAGAAAACAGCTTTGAAAGTAAATGGTGAAGGAAAATTGCCTTTAGGGATTTTCTGTGACTTGCTTCCTTTGTCTTTTGCAGGAGGCAATCCTTGATGCCTCTCTCAGAATAGGCATATCACTTGCTATGGTGAAAGCTGCATCTTCTTGTGTTTTACTTGATGTTTTTGAGCAAGGCAGTCCGTGCATTCACCACAGCCTTGAAGGCGTCCTCACTGCCTGGAGCCATACACTTATCTGGGTGGAGGAGCACTGCCAACTTTCGATAGGCCTTGTTTACTTCATCCCTGCAGAGCAAGAGAGAGAGATAATAGAAGAGTGCAATGTAATGGGGTCTATTTATAGAATGATAAATCTTAAAATGAAAGTCTTTCAACTACTGAAGTTTACCTAAGTACTAAAACTATTTGAATGACACCAACAAAGAATTACAATTATTATTCATTTTGAGTTAACCAAGTAAATAGAATTCTAATCAAACAGAAAAATAAAATTGAATTTAGTTATATTCAGAACTTGAAGGTCCATTATAGCTTCATCTCCTGCATTGCACTAGGCTTTTAACTCCAGACACAGAATAACCAGAGTTTCAGAAAGCATTTCTTGTCATAGATAGTACTCCCTCCATTCTCTCAGTTCACAAGAAAAGGCTGGATCATGAACAATGTCCAACTGACATGGTCAATGGACACTGGAGCTGTTAAATTGATTAGGAGTCAGACGGGGGGGGGGGGGAAATGAGGGATAGGGTAAATAGCAGGTTGTTGTGAAGATGCATTCTGGCCAAATGTCTCCTATGCTATACATAAACACTTGCCATAAATTAGTAGATATTTTACCTTATATTTTCTAAATTCAGAGTTTTGCCATACCTATCCCATTCCTTCCAGTCCAACTCTTATCTTGCTCATCTCTACACCAGCAGAGATTATTTATTTTGTAATGATTGAATCCTTCATTACCTTGTAGCTCCCGGTTTGACACCCAACATATCCCAGCTATCCTTGCTGCTGCGAATCCTCCGGATGGTGTCTACTTGCTCCTTAGTGAAACTATTGCTTGTGCTGGTTATGGGGCGCTTTCCACCATTATCACATAAATCAACAATAGCTGAGTAGAAAGTCTGCAAGCACAGAGAAGGCAACATTACAAAGTTCTTGTATGTGCCCATTGCTCAGTAATCTATATTTCATTTAAGGAGATGAAAGTCCAAATCATTTTCTTTGCCTTTAACAGCTCATTCTATTGCCTCAAACTCAAAAATCTTGAAATGACCTATAGGGAATGACCTATAGGGACAGTAAGATTTTTAATCTTACAACCAGAAAATCTTCAAATAGTGCAGAAACATACAGTTACATGGTGCCTACTTCACTAAGTGCTTTCTTGATTTATTTTCAATTGTATGTGCCATGTGCCTTCAGATCATCCATTAGATTAATTCTTGCATATTGAAACAATCTCTTGCACTACTTGTTCTTGCGATTTTTTTTTTTACATAAAGAGCTCTGTGCCATTTCAAAGACTAAAGGGAGGTAATTAATTTAAAATTCCTTGGAAAACTAGGGAGAACATTGCATATGCAGAGAGAATAAATGAGAATTTGCCAGTGAAAGATGAGAGACCTTAGGACATTTTCTCTCCAAGTCAAGAAAAGGTACTGCTGATTTCAGAAAGGAACAAGAAAATATAAAATATTTTACCAAAAATGTCTTAAGAATGAAAAATGAAAAATGAAAGAAAAGTGTCTGCGTTCATGACTGGAAATATTTCTGGCATGTTTTATTCATGCCCCCAAACAATGTTTCACATGACTTGCAGCAAGTCAAGGTAACCATGTTTAAAGAAAAAAATCAACAGCATTTCATTTTGTGTAAGAAGATGAAGATTTACAAAAGCAAACAAAACAGTTGCTTACAAAAACATCTTAGAGAGGAAGCAAATTCTCATAAGGAAGAATTCAGTCAAGGATGTCTAGATTACAAAGCACAAATCATCGCACAAATCAAGGGAAAAAAAGATGCAGCAGGACTGCCTTGTTTTCCACTGTAGATTTTACCTGGAACATTTCATTAATTCCTTCTCCAGTCTGTGCAGAAGTTTCAAAATAAAGGAAGCCTCTGCTTTCTGCCCACAGTCGCCCTTCACTTTCATCCACACAGCGCAACTTGCCACAATCAATCTGAAACAAAAATGAGAGAAGAGTGTAATCCTGACTAATTATTTACATGCTCCTTTATCTACCCTAAACCCTTTAAGCATTTAACAAACATGAACTTTCTATACCAGTCTTTACCTTATTGGCACAAACCACAAAAACAATGTTTTCCATGTTTCCATGTGGTCCAAGTTCGTGTTTCATCTCAGCAAGCCATAAGTCAAGGGCATCAAATGATTCCTTTTGCCCAACATCATACACTAGGATTACACCCTGGGTGTCTTTGTAAAATTCATTGCGAACCTAATTTAAGGCAGAAATAATGCAGGTGAATTAAAAAGACCAATAGACAGCTCTAGAAAAGTGACTCAAATTATAAATAAGCAGTGCATCAGCTTAAATTGGGCAAATTTCTGACCATTTATGTGCAACTGCAGGAAATAATATAATATGTGCATTACATCTGAACAAGTCAAAGTTTGCAGTATATAAATATACCTATTTGGATAATGTTGTGCAGGAATACAAACATTTTCCATTTAGCATGCATTAGTTGACAAAAGCCATCACTACATCACTACAACTGACACCGAGGTGACAAGAGTTCAGTAAAAAATCTTGGATACAATTTTAGTGTAATGTACAGATTATGGGGCTTTATTTCAGTGATTATTTTAACAAATAAAGTGTACTTGCATGCTATGACCACCACCAACTACAGTTTAGCCATTCATTCTCCTTCCAAACAACACAACTACAAGCTACTCATCCTTGGCTTATTTTCTGCTAGCAGACGGACTCAGTGCAATTACTTTAAGAGGGGGGCAAAAAACCCAGAGAAGGGATCCATAGATAAACTTTACTTCAAATCATGGACTGGGTAAAATCAGAAATAATCACCAGGCCAAGTTTGCATAATATGATTACCAAATCTAAATTATAAATCATGATTTATATATCTCACAGTGCCTAGGTTCACACATTAGACTAAGACCAAAGACCTGATAATTTAGTGTACTGTCTGAACTCTGGCACACAGCGTTTTAGCATCTTTTTGCATGATTTGTTCCGTCCTCATTGCTGAAAAGCCATCCACCTTTCTTACCTCGTAAAAGAAGGAGTGTCCAGCCATGTCAAAGATATTCACTTTGATTTCTCGGTCTCTAATTTGCACTCTAAAAGGAAAAGAATCCTAAGATGCAAGTATGGGCACTCTAAAGAATCTTCTTGCTGTTACTAAGCTAGCATTAATAAGCATCACAATATGACAGTTGTGCCAATAGAGTTAAGCGTTGGTATAGTCATTAAAAGACAGAGGAAAAAGATCCAGGATTAATTTAAGACAAGATGTAATTATTAAATAATTGACAAGAGGAGATACAAGAACAATCAAATAGGACAGTTACAGTGGTGGGATTCAGCCGGTTCACTCCGGATCGGGCGAACCGGTAGCGGCGACTGCGGGAGGCTCCGCCCACCCACCCAGATGTAATGCGCGAGCACTGCACACTGTGCATGCGCTCACATTTGCGAACTGGTAAGGAAGGTAAATTAATCCCACCTCTGACACAGTAGCTTCACAATAAAGACTTGATCAGACTTTTAATAATTTCCCCACGCCGTACCCGAAAATACTTGCAGGGAAACATTTACTGGCCTCATATTATATGCAATGGGACGTGCACTGAATCATCATCAACATCAAAACTGCTATTTCCACCAACAGCAGAGCAGAAAAACTACAAACAATCGTGATGGATGAACAATCAAGAGCATTTTTCCATCTCTCGCATGTACACCTTTTAAGCTTGGCTCACATATTTTCAAGAGCTATTGTCCGTAGCTACTGCCGGATATGAAAGAAGGGTACTCACTTGGTGACACCATAATCAATGCCAATTGTTGCAAGATATTTGGGCACAAATCTCTTCTCACAGTATCGCTTGATAACGCAGCTCTAAAAAGTTAAAAAAAAAAACCACCTTGTTATCAAAGGGGTGAGCTGCTTATTCAGCCCAGGCTGTGCTCTGCTTTTCATAACTAATTCTAATCAAAATATTTTTAAAAACTGATTTTATGTATATCTAGCAGTTAAGTAAATATAGCAGTAGTACAATTCAAATAAATATAGCAATAAGCAAAAAATAAAAAAGATAAAACAAGTTTAAGTTGAACTGAAGTAATTGAATATTAATAAATTTTTATTACTGTCAACTACCAGTCAACACAAAACAGAGTACATAAAACTAATAATTAACTATGAAATAAATTAATACACATTACATGACAAAATGCGGCCCCATTTAAAGAAACAGAGCCCATCTGAATCTGAAATAAATATTTGTAAATAATACTGATCAAGTAAGCAGGGAATTTGGTTTGATGTGGGGTTACGAGCTCAAGGTGGAGTTCAGCATAAAACAGTATAACAAAAACAACTGCAGCTAGATGTCTATTTTAATGGCTCCTAAGTAAATATAATTTTTATTTCCTGCTCAAAACATTATATATTTCAGTTTTTATCATTCATATTATGGGCAGTGCCATCAGCTTACTGTATAGTAAGAACAGAATGGAACTTCATTTCTTTTACAAAGAGACATCATAGATGTTTTCACAGGATATAATGTATCCTGATAGAAAAGAAAGATTAGAATTGCAGTTAAAAAGATCTTAATAAGACTTGTCATTTTCATGTGGAATTTGGACTGTTGTATCAACAGACATAGTACAGGTAGTCCTCGACTTACAACAGTTCACTCAGTGACTGTTCAAAGGTACAGCACTGAAAAATGTGACTTATGACTGTTTTTCACAGTTACGACCTTTACAGGATCCCCATAGTCATGTGATCAAAATTCAGATGGTTGGCAATGGACTCATATTTATGACAGTTACAGTGTCCTGGAGTCATGTGTTCACTTGTTGTGACCTTCTTACAAGGATAGTCAATGGGGACTAAATATTCATTTAACAACCATAACTTAACAACTGCAGTGATTCACTTAAGAACTGTGGCAAGAAAAGTCGTAAAATGGGGCAAAATTCACTTAACACATTTCTCACTTAACAACCTAAATTTGGGGCTCAATTGTGGTTGTAAGGCGAAGACTACTTGTATGTTCAAAATACAAAATACAGCCAATCAATCAGTTGCCCAAATCCGGCCAACCTGCTTGATTCATTAACTACCCTGTGCCATTCATCATTTTTACTCTGCTTACATCTAAGAATAAGACTATGGCAAAGCAACTGAAGGAAAACAGAGATCTTCTCTCATTCCACCCTTATCGGGCAGGAGCCATTCCATCATTCTACAGGAATGGGGGGTGGGGGGAGAAGGAAAGCAGGGCTGTTCTGCCAGCAAGCCTGTGATAAGCAACTATTTCTCTTCCAACTTGTCACTATATAAATAATGAATGAGTGTATGGGTTTCTTTTTGCACCGTTTGCTCTTCTCACTATGATGTCTTCCAGACGGCAGGGAACGGTTATATTACTGGTCTTGTAATCTGCAGCGAGTCCTCAATTTATGATCACAATCGAGTCCAAAACTTCTGTTGCTAAGCAAGACATTTCTAAAGGAGTTTTGCCCCATGTTATGACCTTTCTTGTCACAGTTGTTAAGTGAATCGTTGCAGCTGCTAAGTGAGTAACACAGTTATTAAGGGAATCTGGCTTCCTCATTGATTTTGCTTCTCGGAAAGTCACAAAAATGATTGCACGACCCTGGGACACTGTAACTGTCCCAAATATGCCAAGCATCTGGATTTTGATCACATGACCATGGGGATGCTGCAATGGTTGTGAGTGTTAAAAATAGTCATAAGTCATTTTTTTTCAGTGCCGTTGTAACTTTGAACGGTCGCTAAATGAATTGTTGTAAGGCGAGGACTATCTGTACATTGGAATATTTTTTAACTGAAGAGTGAAGTAAATTACTTAATAATTAAATAACATTTAATTACTATGCCTTGAACCAGACTTTGCTAAACTGCCATCATTAACTATGGAGATTCTTAGTCATCCAGGTCACGGTTGTTCCAAAGGTGCTTTTTCCAGAGGCCACTGGACTTTCTGGTTTTTCTTTGAAGACATTTTGCTTCTCATCCAAGAAGCTTCTTCAACTCCTGCCTCTGGAAAAAGCACCTTTGGGACTACTATCATTAACAATCACTGGCCCTGTCAGTTGTGCTCATGACAGTTCTAATCAGTGGTGGGATTCAAATAATTTAACAACCGGGTCTCTGCCCTAACAACCAGCTGGGTAGGCGTGGCTTGGTGGTCATGTGACCATGTAGGCATGGCCAACTCAATGTCACTGTCAATGGGCACTTCGCCTTAGCTGTTACAATGTAATTAAGGTTAACCTGAGAGGCAGTTTCTGTAAGCAGGCAATAAAGATTAGGCTAGAAACACCAAAATGTTTCCTTCCTGCCTTCCTTACAGGATTAGCCCTGTAAAGTGGAAAAAAACAAAAGGAGATTTCTTCCAAAAACCAGTTCTCAGAACTGCTTAGAAAGTTAACAACTGGTTCTCCCGAATAGGTGCGGAATCCCACCACTGGTTCTAATCCCAAATTTCTGGAAGGCATCAGATTCTGAAAGGTTAAAACAACCCAGGATCAAGATGAATAGAATACAGCTGGTCAGTGACCCGGATCTGAAGGGATTCAAGTCATGCATGTAGACTGGATCTGTTGGCACCTCTTTAAATTAAATGTGCCTTCCTAGGATCATGTAGCTCTGAATCACCCTTTCCTCTACAAATCCAGATCTCTGCACAGCCCTAACATAAAAGACAACAACTCCCACATGAACTCACATAATTAAAATAAATGGGATTAGAAGGACACACAAGTGAAATTGTAATAACTATTTTATTTGCTGGCTGCCCTGCTCTTAAAGACTAGGCTGGGTATTTGTTTAATAGAGTGATCCTCATTAATGATCATTTATTGAACCTCAATTACAAAAATTTTGTGAAGCACTAAAATATATGTGCATGAATGCTAAGAAATTGTGCAGTGCAGAGTCTGCCATCTCACATCTTTCTGCTGAATTACATTGTTATTATTATTTATACTATCTCCTGCCTATTCAAATTACTCATTTACAATAAAAATCTAAAAATGTGTGTGTTGTTCCTAGTGTTTGTTCCACTTAGTTGCAAATTCTGATTATTTCTGTGCATTCACTTCAGTTCATATAATGGAGCTATCAGTGTATGATGCAACATGGAAGGTTGATTTTTCAGCCAGCTTGTCCCAGAGCCTGACAATGATTAGGAGTAAGAAGTAGTAACTGGCCCACGATCACCCACTTGCCTTCTCTGCCTGAGAAAACTAGAACCTGGGTCTCCCTGCTTCTAATTTAGTTTTAAATTGCTAGAAAATAGAGGAAGTAGGTGCAATAGAGACTGCAGCATTGCAAGTTAATGCTTGTATTCAGGGTACATTTGAGACAGGGAAGTGCAATCATTAATTTTTTATTTATGTATTTCACTTATGTAACATTTTTATATGACTGTTCATCTACTAAACACTCCGGTCAGCAAACAGATAAAAACAGAATAAAACAAGAATCCACTATATAAAAATTATGAAGTCAAGTTCCCTAAAAAAAAAAATCCTAAAAAAAATCACAAATATGCCTGCATCCACATCAAAGTTCCATTAGTAACCTGGATCATGTTTTCACAGCCTTCTGGAAAGGTAGAAATCATCTGAAGTGGATTGGACTGAGGAAGACAATTCTATCAGTACAGTATAATCTACGAAGTACATCTAGATCCATCTCTCCATACTTTTAGATAGTAAGTTAGGTACATATCTCCAAATAGGACCCATTTTCAATTCCAACAGTATCCAGTGTTGTATCAAGGAAATTTTATTTTAATGGAATCTGGATGCTATACTGCGCACACATCAGACTGCATACTGGACATGTCTCAACTCAGTAATAATATTCACCTATATCAGATAAATTTAGACTAACTATCTTCACTCCCCACAAGTTGTGACAATAAAGATCTAATATCTTGAATAGGAGCAGAATAAAATTAAAAATTACAATGTTCCATCTTGAGGATTGAGCCAAATCACCTAGTTGAGTTCCAGATTATATGGTTTCAGCTTTTAAAAGTTTATGTCAGATTTGACATAATTTATTAGAATTTATTGATTTGATGGATTTATAACTACTTGTTGTATTGCATCACATAGATTTTACTTTTATGCTATTAACCTTCAGGCTAAGTAATTAACCCATTGAAATAATGAATAAAACCATTTTCTTGGCCAAGTCCCTTAAATGAGAAGCAGTTTACCATTTTTTATTTTTATATTAAGCTTGGGTGATTTTATGAGGACTATTTGCTGCTTCAAGACTTCTAGTATGTTGAATCTTTTTTCAATATTCACCACCAGCTATCTGGGTTGCTGGAATCCCCATCTGCATGACCAGTCGATGGCAGCCAAGAATTTTGTGGGTTTTTTGTGGAGTCTGCTGCTTCTGGCGACTGGATATTTGCAGCCAAAATATGATAAGATTTAGATAGAAAGCAAGTCAAAGAAAGTTGCCTCTGCCTTCACCAAATATACCTTGCAGACTTTACATGTGGATAAATGTAGTGGAATAATCCATATCATTTAAAAGATCCTTTGGCAGGTTGTATCCATTTAATGTTAATGGTTTTAATATATTTTTAAAAAATGTTTTAATTGTTGGTTTTATGATGCTCCCGAGTATTTTGATATGGGCGGCCACATAAATTTGGTATATATATATAATAAAAATTAATAAAACATATCAAAACATTTTGCAAGCTCCACCTTAACCCAACCCCTCTACCTCTCCAGGGCTAATAAACCACAACATTCTATTCCACAAACGATCTCTAGTGTCACAACGGCCTAATAAAGCAAAGAGACTTCATTGGTCAGCCAGCTTGTCGTTCACCTGCCTCGGACCAATAAGGCGCCTCTGCTTCTATTCCTACCCTTTTTACCTTGCCAACCTCGGCGTTACCCATGGAGATTACTTTGATCCTCAAAGACTTGCGCGTTTCTTTCCGTTTCGTCTCCATCCTTAGCCGATAAGACTGGAGGAGATGACTGAAGCTCCCTTTCTTCACGGGGTCTGACTAAAACTCAACAGACTCGCGCAAATCACCATCACAATGCCCGGGCTCCAGTCCTCACTTCCGTTATCTCCCTCTCCATAGTCAATTATTCAACAAGGCTAAGTCAAGCCCCAACAAACGCTTCGCGAGCCTTCACGATATCGCGAGAATTATCGAAGGACTGCCTCCGGGCGCTCAATACAAAAGCAAGGAAGTCTCGCGAGACCCAATCAGAGCGGTCCAGTCGGAAAAATAGAGGGATTTTTTTTTTTTTTTAAATTTGATTTATATGCCGCCCTTCTCCGAAGACTCAGGGCGGCTTACAATGTGCTCAGCAATTTGCAGCGTTTCTGTTTAATCAGAGACAAGTTTGACTTCAAAGTGGTTGTTTTTAGATAAGCTGCTATAGAATCGCAGCGTTCGGTGCTGTCGTTACCTGGAATATATACCCTGTTCGAGTATATACATCTCATTTTGTCTAGAATTGTGCTGTAAATGAATGGAATTAATTAATAAATTAATGGAAATCCCTTTCCATTTTTATAAGTCGAATTCCTACTTATTGTTATAAGGCAGCAGAAGCCGGGAAAGTGCTGGATCTACGTTAAGTACAGAGCTTGGTTCGCATCAGATACCGAATAAACGAGCAGAAAATCTCTGGGAGTTTTTGCATTTATTATATGGCTGTGGTGGAAGCAATTTCTTTCAACACGGCACTGGTGCAGGAGAGGAAAAGCTGAACCTCTCTGGTGTTTCTATTTGGCACGTTCCTTCCGAACCCTTCGTGAAACCATGCAGCATTCTGCCTTGTTAAAAAGAAATTTGTAGCTTTATTGCAGAAACACTCATGCTGGCTTTGATGAATGACTGGTGAGGGAAAAGAACAGTGGTTGGGATTCCAATTTTTTTCTGTGGGTGTGGCTTGGTGGGCGTGGCGTGGCTTGGTGGGCGTGGCAGGGGAAGGATACTGTAAAATCTCCATTCCCATCCCACTCCAGGGGAAGGGTACTGCAAAATTCCCATTTCCTTCCGATTAGGACTCGGGAGGCGGGGCAGCAGGTTCTGACAGGTTCTGGAGAACTGGTAGCGGAAATTTTGAGTAGTTCGGAGAACCGCACTTTCCGTAAGGCCCTGAAGACGTTTTTATTTCAGCAAGCCGGCCTGGCCTGAATAGGTTTATGGGTTAGTTTTCTTAATTGTATAGCTAGGGGTTTTAAATTGGGAGGCTGTTTAATTTAATTTATTTTTAATTATCTTAACTTTTATATTGTATGTTATTTTAATTCTCGGCTGCTCACCGCCCTGAGTCCCTTCAGGGAGAAGGGCGGGATATAAATTTAATAAATAAATAAATAAATAAATAAATAAATAAATAAATAAATAAATAAATAAATAAAGCTGGCAAATACCACCTCTGTCTGGTCCCACAGTGGGTTGGGAATGGAGATTTTGCAATATCCTTCCCCCAGGAGTGGGGAGGGAATGGGATTTTGCACTATCCTTCACCTGGAGTGTGGAGGGAATGGAGATTTTGCAGTATACTTCCCCTGGAGTGGGGTGGGAATGGAGATTTTGCAGTATCCTTCCCCTGCCACTTCCACCAAGCCACACCCACAGAACCGGTAGTAAAAAAATTAGAATTTCACCACTGGGGCAGGGCCAGTCAGAAATGGTATTTACCGTTTCTCCAAACTACTCAAAATTTCCACTACCAGTTCTCCAGAACTGGTCAGAACTTGCTTAATACCATCTCTGAAATGAACACTGCAGATGTACAAAGAGGCTTTGCTTGTTTGTTTGTTTTTCAGTCAACTGACGTAACCTGCCTTTCTTCATCAGGAGTATGGACTCAAAATGGAAATGGAAATTAGATAGACGATGGATGGATGGATGGGTGCATAAATGCATGGATACATAGAAATACAACAATAGAGTTGGAAGGGATCTTAGAGGTCTTCTAGTCCAACCCTCTGCTCAAGCAGGAGACTTAATATCATTTCAGACAAACTGACTGTCCAGTGGCTTTATCTTGATATTGAGGATCAGCTTCTCAAAGCAATAGAACAAGAGGTATTGGATCTAATTTAAACTAATTTTGATTTATGAAGTTAGATTTTTTGCAACAAAATAGCACCACCTAGTGAATTTGTAAAAAAAATATGCTTAAACAAGATGATCTACAGTATGTGCAGAGCAGGAATTTCGATAGTCAATCACAGAACTATAGAACGCTATATAGAACCCCGGTTCTATCTGGCTCGCCAAACCAGTAGCGCCAGCAGCAGAAGGCTCCGCCCCCACACCAGGACTTCATTATATCCCCTTTTTTAACCATCTGCACATGTGCTGAAGGTTCTGTGCATGCGCAGAAGAGGTGCTCCTGCACAGGAGCACACCCAAACCGGTAGTAAAGGTAAGTGGATTTCACCGCTGCTATATAGTATAAAGATTTCAGTACATACAGCTAATCATTTGCGGAGAGGCTAATCAAATTTTAGATTATATTTCCAGCAGAAGAGAGAACAGTTATGTAGCTGAATTTTTTTTTAATTAGGAAGCCAAAAATAATATAAATATATATATATAGTGATTGGAAAATATCTCCCATTCCCTCTGTTCCAGTTTTCTTTACAAGATGTGTTTGATAATCTGAATTAGAATAATAGCATTTCTCTTTTTTATACATGTTATTGTTATTGAGCATTACAGTCAAAAAGAACATTGAACATTACAATCAACAAGGTAAGAACTAATACAAGCCAATAAAGTAGAAAAAGAAAAATAGGATGGCCAGTGTAGAATTTAGCACCCACCACTCTCCTAGAAGAATAAAATATTCTAAGAAATATTACAAAGGCGGAATATTATATTTCTCTGGATGAGAAATGGAGAAACATGAGGTGGTGTTTTTTTTGTTTTGTTTTTTGTTTTTTTTTTGAGGCAGGAAGCACACTCACTCTTAATAGCTCCCGCCCTCCTCAATAGCCCACAGCAGATCTCAGCATTTAAGAGATAAAGAGATGGCTAGGTGTATTCATAAGTAAATACCTTCACACAAGACCCAGCAAAGGTAGGATTTAGCCCCCAGCCACAATAGGAATTGCCAAAAGCCCTTCATTACATCACCCAGCAAGGTTCAACCAACCTTAAGTCAGACAACCTCAGCTGGACCCCTGGGAGTCTGACAACCAATAGGATACATTTCTTGCACAGGAACAGGAAGCTATAGGGCAAGGCCCAAGAGAGGTTATAAATACAGAGTATCTCTCTCCACTCCATGTGTTCAGCTACCCAGAATCACACATGGTTGCTGGTTCTGCTTCACCATTATACCATCCTTCCAAGCAGCCTCCATGTTTCCAGTGTCTTTCTCCCCATTTGGAACTGAACCCAGATGGACATTTCTTCCAACAACAGAAAAGGAATAAATAAATAAATAAATAAATATATATATATATATATATAAAAAGAAATGACTTATCACTTCATCACAGCAAGTTTAAACAATTTTAGTAACATATTACCCTAGGCTTAAAATACAATAAATAATCTCTTTTTCTCATATCTTATCTCTTTACCTATAAAATTATTTTAAAGCCTTATCATTCAGTCCTAGTCAGCAAAAGTTATTTTTGCATGTAATTTTATTTTAATTACGTAAACATCTACTATATTAATAACAAAATAGTCAACAGATAAAGCAACAAAAAAAAAAAGCAAGGGTGAAAATTTAAAGCCCTCTGTTAACAAACCATTACTGTATAAAACTCATTAAAAAACTTATCATGGCTTCTTATCTATCCCAAATCAACCCAACAGTTAACACTAATTTGTCCTGGATCAAATATCCATGTTTGTTAATACCATCTCTTATCAGCAAAAGTCTATTAAGGATTACTGGAGATAACAATATATCAAATTAATATATCAAATAAACCAGATTTATAATCTGTTCTTTTATTTATAATAATCTTGATCTTTTTATATTTCTTCCCTTTTAACCATCCTTATGCTTAGTATCCTCAAATAATGTCCTAAAAGTCCTCAAAAAATGTCCTCAAAACAACAACCTTTTCCCAAATCCAACTCTAATTCCAGAAACTTATTTCAAATCCATCTGGAACCTTAGCCTGTTTATAGCTTTCCAAAATCAATGTTCTAATCATCCTTTTGCTTTTTGAGGAAAGTTTTTTATGTCTTTAAATTTATTTTTAAAACTTCTTTCAATAAGGATTAAAGGAAATCTATATTATACTACTTGATGATCAGAAAATTCTTATTAGTAGAAAAACAATTAAAAAGCAATATTCAGAAGTGATTAAGAGAGGAAGTATGCAAACCCAGATATTGCACTGAAGTTTTGGCTAAGTTAAGCTCTAAACTCTCTGGAACAGGGGTCTCCAACCTTGGCATCTTTAATACTTGTGGACTTCAACTCCCAGAGTTCCTCTGGTTGAAGTTGAAGTCCACAAATCTTAAAATTGCCAAGGTTGGAGACCCCTGCTCTGGAGAGTGCAATTTTCTGATCTCGTGAGAAGCAATTGTCTGGAGCATTTGTGGGCAATCCCAATTCTTTTCTGGAGAGAAATCCCAAATAGTCCATTTTCTGGCTCTTCATTCCACTGCGATCATTGGCTCCACTCTCAGTGGAACTATTTTCAGTTCACCAGTTCACAACACAAGGAATATGCTGAAATCAAATGAGCCCATTGGTCTCCCTCCAACTTGACACGAGTGCAAAAACCTCATTTAATAACTACTCTGGCCCCCATGAATTATTATGGTCCTGGAAAAACTAAAATGTCCTCTCCTCATTCCAAGCACAAAAGATAATAAATTACTACAATATTACTGGAATGTGAAAGTACATGTGGTTTGTTAAAAAGAAACATCCAAGCCATTATATCACCAATACTGCATTGCAATTGAAAATGAAATGATACCATTAAGAATTTAAGTGCTCTCAAATCAGATCCAACCTATGGCAGTTGTAAACATGCCATCTCAACTGCTTCCAGTGATAATTTATTGCCCTTTCAAAGATATTTCAACTCCATAATTCTGGTCATTCACTTTATCTCTTCTAGTTTCCTTCAAACTTGCCAAGCATAATCTTTTTTTCTTCTATGCCATCACCTCCCTAACAGAGATTTTTCTTGCTATTCTTTA